TCTGTAATAAATATATTGTATAACATGTATTTACCCTGAAAAGGATGCTTATTTATATTTATAAATAATGTACATATTTAGCTTATAAGTTGACTTGTTATGCTAAAGTTTGAAGGATCTATGTTTAACTATTACTATTCTTACCTTTGTGTAGATATTTTCATAAATTTTTGCCTAGAGTTTGTTTCTTATGGCTGAAACTTCATACATATAGGCTTGATAATTAATATTCTTACCATTTCAAAAAACGAATGTTTACTACAGATAGATCACTCTTTTAACCTATTGCTGACCCATCTCAGCTGATGGCAAGTTGAGAAAACTTGACCACTGTGTAAAACCAACTGATGTGTTTGCCTGAGGCTAAAATGCTTTTGCTTCTATAAAGCTGACAGACAAACCAAAAGTTTTATTTCCTTATCTTTCAAAACTTCATTTTATATACATTATGACATTAAAACTTATTAGATCACCAAAACATTAAATACATTTTTTTTTTTTTGCAAATGAACATAGTTTATAACTGAAAAAAGCATTGGCATTTGTAATCTTAAAAGAACCTTTTATTATAATTCAAGTGATTATTGTTTCACATTTTATAAATACAACACATTTACTGTTTATCTTTACAATTACAATGTAAAATCACAGACTTGACTTAAACATTTATTAAGTTTCGTGGTATACTGCTATACTGTAAAAATCTTAGCTTATAAGATACTGGATTAGCTCTCATACAAAGGTTTCTAGAGTATGTACATATTACTATTTCAGTTAGAGTTTATATTTTTCAGTTGTGTAATATTAAGTTAAAACAAATACTGAATTTATTACTAGACATACTAAAATCATGACACTACATAAATAAATGAATATAGGATTCAATGTAAATTAAATATGTCCAATTTCAATTTGTAGGCTCAGAAAAACTAGTTTATCGACTATTTCAAAACATATTTTCCTCATGCAGATTTTGAAACAATGTTTTGGTAACATGTGATGCATTATCTTTCACATTCACTTTATAGAAAGATTATCAAATATATATTAATTTTCAGTTACAAATCAGTGTTATATACCTTTAGACATGTTACTGTGCAAAATCTGTCTTTTTTAGGACATATATTTGTAAAAAGTATGCTATGCAAACAAGATAAAATAATATTGATTAAACCTTTCGAGATGGGTCATGGGTGAAAGGCTAGGTCATCTCCTTTGTTGACTTGCATTAAGAGTTAATCGATCATCCTATGAGCTATGGTAACATCGTCTTTAGTAGCATCATCCACTTATAGAAACACTACCGTTAGTAATGCAATTCACCTCTAGAAACAATGCCCTTAGTAACACCGTCTGCCTATAAAACCTTAATATCACTGTCTGCTTATAGTAACAAGCCCTCTAGTCTCAAACTATTATGTCACCCCCTCCCCTTACAATAAGACCTCTGTTCACACTTTGTGCAACTATGAGTCCTAGCAACACACTGTTTGTTGAATAACACTTGAAATATGATGTCATGTGACATCTCTTAGCAACATGCTCTCTGGCAGCAGACAAAATCCTTATCAAGTGTTCCTGGACCGTGATAACGCCAAAGCCTGTTGGCATGCACCACTTTTGGCTTACCTTGCCGACCACAATTTATCTGGAAAGTCACGTCTGAGAGACGATCCACTATGTCATATGGGCCTTCCCATGGAGAAGACAACTTAGGAGACTTCCCTTTGGTCTTCCTGGGATTATACAACCTGTCCATTGCATCCTGCATAGTAGAGGGGTGTGCTTGCTTCACTTGTATCTTTTGTTGTGGGCTGTCCAAGCCATCTACAAACTGATCCCTCAGCAACAACTTGAGGAGATCGGGTGGTGCATTTGGGTAGGACTTGTGTGCCATGCTCTCCAAGTTCTGTGCCAGCTCTTGCAGGCTCTCCCCTTTAGCACGGACTCTTGTCCTAAACCTAGCCCTGTAGACTTCAGACTGATTTTGGGTTCCGTACCTGAGTTCTAGAGCCGCTAACAAGTGCTCTATAGTTGTGCCTGTCGTCTGCTGACAACTGTCCAAGTATTTCCAGTGGTTGTCCCTTCAAGCTCATTGCCAGATATACTGCTTTCTGCTCCTCTGTCCATCCATTCAT